TTACCTGCATGGGACTGGGCAAACCTCAGAGAGGCTGTGATCCCTGGGAGTGTCTAAGGGCAAATGAGCCAGACGCATATAATGGGTTGCAATATGATCCAAGAGGATGTGAACCATTGTGAGGTGGGAGCTTCATGATTGGTTGTGGGAGCTTCATCATTGGTTTGCCTTCATTGTGACAGAGGAAAGGAGGTGGTTGGGAAGGATCAGGAAGGAGACATTTGGTGGTGACCATATATGGTCAAATGATGGGAAAAGCAAGCAGGCTGTGATGGGTTTAACTCAAAGTTATTTAAATCTGAATCATACCTTCTTGGCCAATGGAATTCGGATTCCCACGAAGAACAGAGTCCTGGCAGCAACCCAACATATACTTACCTTGTTGTAAGATCCATTGAGTTCAGTAGGCCTCACCTGCATGGGACTTGGCAAACCTCAGAGAAGCTGTGATCCCTGGGAGAGTCTAAGGGCAAATGAGCCAGACGCATGTGGTGCAATGGGCCTATTGTTGTGCACTGTGATGTATTTCACCACCAGTCTCCCTCGTTGTCATGGACACCAACCTGCAAAAGAAGAGATCAGCACAATCCATGGAATCTCATGAATGTAGAAGATTCCATACATTCATAGATAATTCCATGTCATAACCCCCATGCCAACGACTGCCCAGATGAGGTCAGAAGCCATCTTGAGACACAGTTTTCTGACTTCTCAGATGACTTCTATGACAAATAATGGATCATTCATTGAAGCCAGTGTTACTGTCATAATTACCTACCCCACCAAAAAGACGTGATTCGAGGTGAGATTGTTTTGGCCTCTCAATGAAGTACGACCCTTAAAAGAGCAGAACACAACTCTGTCAAATGGCTAGATTCTAGACAGTGAACTTCTCCAAATGTCTACAGCATGCACAGTACAAAGGGAACAGGGAGATGGTTACCTCTACTTGATGTATAGATCCTATCTGGACAAGGTCTTCTACATGTCCACGTCCCAAGAGAAACATGGACCCTAAATTAAACAGCTCTGTCAATTAACTAGATAGTACAACAAAGACATCTCTGATGTACAATGCCTACATCATGGTGCCACTCAAACAATGGAGAGATGGTCAACCCCTGTTTGACAGCCACTCACCAAGTTCTTGTTTTCTTGACTCATAGGTCCTCGTCACTTCTTCTTCGAACATGATGTGTTCCTGTAAGATCCATTGAGCTCAGTGGGCATTACCTGCATAGGACTAGGCAAACCTCAGAGAGGCTGTGATCCCGGGAGAGTCTAAGGGCAAATGAGCCAGACACATATGGTGGGTTGCAATTTGACCTAAGAGGATTAGAACCTTTGTGAGGTGGGAGCTTCATGATTGGTTGTGGGAACTTCATCATTGGTTTGCCTTCATTGTGACAGA